GACAGTCTGTGCGTGTTCCATAGAAAGCAATTTTTAGCATGTCGACTCGACTGCACTAAATCAAACATTCTGCAAACAATTCATCACGGGACCAAGATTCATATAATTCAATAAAGTGATCGCAGTACGGCTAGGTAATCAAATTTTGCTATTTTTAAACTTAACAAAAGGATTACTTTGTTCTTTTTGCATGTTGCCCCTAACGTTGACTGTTTTGTTTAGTCCATACTGAGAGATTTGAAGGCTTTTCAGCTTTGTTCATGCATAAATTATGCATGAAACTACTTGGTCGATCAACCGATACTATAGTGTCAGGGTCAGGGTTTTGATGGGTTGTTGCTGGGAAATTATTTTGGCTGATCCAGCAGTGTAAAACTTCAACGTCAATTGTTTTTTAACCATGACGATTACCGGTTTGCTGTCTGGGTGTGTAGGTAGTTATCGATCGGAGTCAAATATAGGGCCAAGGTCTAATTCACAAGTGACAGTCAGTCAGCCAGTCAGTCAGTCAGATAGGTACAAGGAATAGCAGGGCGTAAATCCCGGGGGATGGGGGTTGTATAACTTGTCGACCAGGGGGTGGGGGTGGGCTGTTGCATCATCCCACCCCATACTTTTTCGTGATGAGAAACAAATGTGGATTTCGAGGTATTTTTCGAACGTCCCAACAATAACAATGTATTCAATAGCACTGATAAGTGGATAAACAAAGTACCAAGGCGCTAACATGCGCCGTTTTCATGTAAGCGCGAGTATACATATTGATATACATCCACATCCTGAAGAGCGCTCCCTAGTGTAATGTGGTGTCAACCCCCCCCCCCCCTCACTTTTCAAATTTTCACGTCTATTCCTCTGAGACCAAAATACCTAACATTTCTCATGGCGTTGTGATAAACCAAGGTAATACCGTATTGCATCGTCTTTGCAAATTCGATCTTCAGAAATAAAAGAAGAAGTTTTATTAAATTAAACTTAAGATATTGGCTTTAAAAAAGGCAGTCTTTTCTTGCAGTGTACAATTGATGTTTCATCTCTGTGCCTGCGAGAATGTCCTGGTCTTATTGACGGCTTGTTTGTTTAATTTCTTTCCCTCGGGCTCGTTCTGTCTTTCCTTAACCTCGCATGAAGACTGAATTCAAAAGCAAATGCCAAGGTCTTTGGTAAACTGACGGAGCGGAAGAAAGTGTCCGTTGGCGTGGATAAGATGAAGTAAAATCGATACATTGCCGTCCTAAGATGTCTTTGAGATGTTTAGGAAACGTGCCTGATTGCAGACGTCTTTTTTCGAAAAGCTTTCATATGTCTAAGACATCGGAAAAGACTTGGGGCAGATATTGCAGCCTTCTATTGTAGCTGACAGACGATATTGCTTGTCTGAGCTGATACATTTGGCAGGTGGTACTAAAACCAATATAAAAAAGAAAACATTTCATTTTGCTTGAACATTTCTGATTATTGATATCAATTTCCTAATTATGTTATATCAATAAAGTAGAAAATAAATTATACGAAACAGAAATTTTTGGTTTTATAAATTTAACAGTGCAAAAACAAAACCACTGCGTGTGTGGTGAACAGCATTAATACCTTCCTGTTCTTGACGAATTATCAACAACGGAAACAGTTTAGTTCTGTGTTTTCAAGTTTTACATGACTGTTGTTTTAATAACTAATACCCCGATTTACCATACTGATGGGATAAATTGAGATAATGCACTTGTCGCACAATGGCAGCCCATTATCTACTGATGTGTTATCTTACGTTTGTCTGAGTTTGTAATAATACATTGGGTGGTGTTAATTTGCATATTATTATGGGGCAAAGGGCAACCATAAAATGAGCGGTTATAGACTATTTCACTGATAGAACGCGGAAGTTAACATTGAAAGTATCGATATGCCGCATTGTATTGTGGGACGATTTGCGCATCGATTGGGGATAACCTGCAGGTATCAAGTAAATAGGCCACAAATCATGAATAATTACTGTTATACATTCAAGTTATTTTATTTTAGCCAAGGAATTGGGGGATTGAAGACATATGGCACTGCATCTCTGGCCAGGACCTCGGGGCTTCCCAAATCTGAGCATTTCGTATGTAGTAGACCTGAGACATAATGACGTCACGCTTTGTTTACCTGTGCGCTGTCCTATGGGAGCCAAGTGGGACGATCGGCTGGCGTCTCCACCTGGGTCCCAGAGGAAAGCGCACATGTAAACAATGCGTGACGTCATTATGTCTTAGGTCTATTGGGTCCGAAAGTGGCGCTATTTAGCCTTATTGTGGAGGGCCCTGTTTTTCAGAAATGCTACGTTTCCAGTAATATCATTCGTTTTAAGGTGATCTTCTTCGGGTGAGAATCTCTTCCAAAAGTCATCGGTCAACCCACCAAACTCTCTTTTGTATTTTATTGATACTGAATTAAAACAAGCTTGACAATATTTGGAGTTTGAAAACTTCCTCAACCCCAACCCTCTTCAATCCTCCAAAGTCCTCCTGGAGGTTTTGGAGGATTTGGGAGGAGGAGTTTTGAGGCTGAATGGCACAAAAAATGTCGGGTGATTTAGAGGATGCATTCGAGTTCGTATAGGCTGTACCATGTATTGTTTATGTTCCGTCATGTATAATTGAGCCCTGCATTATGCTCGATATCATCCGCACTGCAACTGAATGTCGTCGGTAGTGCCTCAACCCATTAATATTGATTGCTGGGGATTTGAGTTGATTTAACATTGATTTTGAAGAATTGTGACAATGGTCACTCCTCTACTCAAGAATTTAAGAAATAATGGATGATTTTGGAGGATTGAGGTTGAATTCAATATTTACATGGTAGCAATTGGAGGATTTTGCAGGATTGCGGATGGTTAGTAGCCAAGAGGGCCCAGAGGTTAGGGTTTTAAACGCATGGTCCATATAGTATTTGGCAAAATAATAGACTTATTGCGAATGATGTGAACGATAAACTAACCGCTAAACCGCACTGATATGACTCATGCTGACCTAGTTATGAAAACTGCAGACCATGTCTGTGTTTAACTAAAAGATAATGCTATCTGGCTGAGCAACGTCCGTACTTTGATATTTAAATGATGCGGGGACTCACTGATGTTAATTTGGCCTCGTTAAGATAAATATTGAGCCAAATGTTGTTTTTGTTTACGCTACGGCAGGCTGACTTTGGGAGTAAAAAAATAACCGGGTACATCCATGGTTTTGTGTATTGTCTACATCATTTTTAACCTCGTACGCAGTAAATTCGTATTATGCATCCATGGACAAGGCCGGAGTACATTTTGTTTACAAAATTTGCTTTGTGGTCACGTGATGCCGACTTTCAGCAAACTGAACTACTTTTGCTACATCTTTTCATCCATTGCAGTATAGGTGGTTTTTAGGTATCGATACTCACTATACACTTTGGAAGGAATATAAATGAGACAGAATGCTATAGGGTGGCTGCATTGCATATCGGTAATCGACAGACATGACGGTCACAGGTACTAGGTGATTAGTTCAATTCCTGTTAAAGATTTGGTCACTTCTTTGGATTAAAAGTGCACGTGCCTAAACTTGTGCAATGGAAGAAATGACACTTCAAAAGTTGGGAAGACTGCTTCAAACAACTTCCGTCCAGGCAACGATGGTATTATAGGAATATTCCAGTGGGATGATAGTTTGTCCTGATAGGCCCGAAAAATGGGTCAGTCAATCGGTAAGATAACACCTGTTGCCTAGGCTCGCAATGATCGACGGCGCCAATAAAACCAGGAGCACTTGACGAGTAAATGTACCAGCCATAACCACACCCTTCCTTGGGTAAACCCTACTGCCATGCAACGGTCCCAGTTACTACAAACTACCTGTCTGACAACCAGAGAATGCTATCAGATAATACGGTGGACTTTGGCCACTCTGACGGCACGCCTTTGATGCAGCGCTCCGTTGGTGTTTTAGAGCTGCTGTTTCGGTACACACTCCGCACGTACAACAGAGCGATTCATCGTTAGTTGCTTATGTTTTCTGGAGCTAGTTGCACTACCTACCGTACCTATGGGATTCTGCGATCGACTTCGTGTTTTTCTGAGATTCTAATTCATCTGTTCGGGATATAATTTCGGTGTTTGTCAAGGTGAATCTCATCACGGATAACCACAGACATAATCCTCGACTTGTACATCATTGGTTTCAGTAAACAACAATTGGCAGCAACTACGAGAGTAATTTATATTTTGTTGATGTATGTGAGAATTATTTGTCCTACGCCTCATTGTTATATCTATCGTTTAAGCATATGTGCGGTCCAACTGCCCCATGCGAACCGGGAGCCAGATCCAGCGCATAGCATCAACTTTAGGGGATATTGCTCGTCGGAGTCACGGCAAATTACGACACTTTAAGATGTGATCTCGTCCCCTGAAAAAAAATCGTCTTCTGCTCCCTGCCTGATTGATGCATCATCGGACATCAAGGAGCAGTCTCTTTGAGTAGTTGTCTCCGCGGGGATGTTTATTAGCATCTTATCTCAAGCCATCGTGTATACGCCAAGAAGCATTGCTGTCTGCTCGGTTCATAACCATCCATGTACTCGCTGTTGGTGCGTATCACACGAAGTACATTTCAGCGGCTGGATTTCTGAGAAGTAAGAGGGCGGTACAACATGACGTCGTAAATTTATTTGAAAAGAAATTCGGTAGGAGAGATTTATCCTTTCAAATGTTCTGATGTCATTTGCTTCCTTGTTGTGGGAGCTTATTTCTACTCGAGGTGACTCGCAGAGCGCGGATTAACCCTAGCGGCAGCGTTGCAAGCGGATGACGTATAAGTAAGAAGCCGGAAATACAGACCGACATATTGGATAGTGTTGTCAGTGTATCGAAGTTGCTTTTGCATTAAATAAAGAACCAGCGCAGGTTTCGTTTAGAAAGTGAAGTAAGGGAAGTCTAGTGTGTGGAATTATTGTCAAACTGAATTTTGTGGTATGTCATATCCAGTATGGCAAAAGTGAAGAAATCGGGCAAATTGTCGAAGACCAAGCTGGGAGGCTCATCGTCCGGTTTGAGTTTGAGCGTGGAGCGGGGATCTGTACCGACCGGAGGGGCACAGACGCAGGGAGAGACGGCAGCAATGTCGGCAAGTCATAGCTACGATTCCGTACCAAGTCCAAGCTCTGAGTCAACCTACAGTAACGTTGGAACCTACGACCATGACAGGAATCCGTCCACAAGACAAGAACGAGAAGATGGATCCAGTAGTGGCAGATCGTATGGGGTTGAAGGAGAATATGATGACGTCATGGCACCCGATCCAGGAGGGGGACAGTATTGGTCAGATGAGATGAGTCGGGGAGATAGATTCGTAGGGTCATCCAGCACAAGGCAAAATAGTAAGTAAGAGGGCTTTGTGAATGGGAGATGGCTGGTGTGAAACTATCGGGGGGGGGGAGGTGGGCAGGTACAGTTGGTTCCCTTTCTGAGCTTTTATGTTCACGTCACACTGTTGGAAATAGTGAGTTCGCTAATCCTTGCTTAACGTCACACCTACTGCAGCTACTAATCCGATTTGCTAAGTATTATACATGTGTGTACATGTAACTCTTTGCTACAGACGAAACTGTGTATTTAGCAGTCTCATTCGATGCGCTCCATTCTTCCATTTTTTGTGTTCAACAAGTACTATTTACGAAAACTACCGCAGGTGAAATACTGTAAGCTACAGAGTATGATAAATGTCCCCAACCAAAAAAGAATAAAAAACACATTCTGTTCTCTGTGATTCTTGAAATGAAAGGATTTTATTGTGTTATACTGCATAACGGACGGTGGGTTCCAATATGCCATTAAAATGTCCAACTAAATTGTAGCTTGCTGAAGTTATAAAATCTAATTTTCTGATGACAGCTTGCAAGTGTAGTGGTTAAAACGATACCCTAATCATTCGATTATGTTGGAAGCCTTTCAAATCGTATTTGGGTAATTTCGGCAAATTTGCCTGCGGAAACCACTAGAGAATGACATTCCATCTTCAGTGGTGATTATTGGATTTCACCTTCGTATTCCTTGGAAACCATAGCTCGCACTTTTGCATGAATACCTGTGTTGCGCTTGCAACTGTTTTGAATAAAAGGGTAATTGAAATCGTGTCCAGGAATATAAATACTGGTGCTCAACTTGAAACTCGCTTAGGTTTGTAACTTGACTTTTTTTGTTTATGCATATTTAACAGCCCTCGAGTTTAAATGCCTTTCTTGCATTTTCAAAGTCATGCTAATATAGGGTCCGGCTGGTCTGCGTACAGCTTCTAATATTATGTTGCTCAAAACTCTGCGTTTGTTGTCAAATTCAGTCCACAAATCATCGGTTTATCAAGAGAACGTCGAGGTTGTATAGAAAGCGATTGGTTAATATTAACCCGCTGTAATTTGTTGTGCTTTGAAGAGCGGAGTGCCACTTTAGTACAGAGTTTGAAAAATCACATCCACTTCTGGATGTGATGGAAGTTTTGTTTTTATATCTTTATTTGAGTGCAAGGAGTGCAAATACCTTAGTATACAAATAACAATTAGATCACATCAAATGCAAGCTGATCTTGTATGTCTAGGCGTCTTCTGTTTTCCTTCAAGCATTCTTTTTAAGTTTCTAACCGTCCACAATTTCAGTGACAAATAATAGTTGTGTTCTGTATTTTCCCCTTCATCTGCGCTGTATTACACACATAGTTACGTGCGTGTAGCTTCACTTAAAATTATAACCTTAAATATAACAGAAATGTTGATTTTTCGTTGAATTATTTGAAGAAATTAATGAACCAAAGAAAATACCAAGTCTTCTGTGAATAAAGATAAATATTTGCATAATTACAAAAAGGTTTTGCTTTCAATTTTGTTGTTTACAGAACTGAAACCATCCAAGCGTATCATTGAGAGAAAGTTTCGAATTCTCCTGGTAAGTTTGATTTGTCTCTTTTCAGATTGGTTTGTATAGACATTCACATATAACGGGGGTTGAAAAACGGGCGGGGCTTACGCTAGAAGAAGGGGACTTTTAATCAAACTATAAATAAGACGTTCCAAATTTAGCCCGTGATATATTCCCATGTAATTCCCACTGTACATGCATTGAATGGAGGCAATGTCTTTGGACTTTTAGTCCTGGCATTTGTACATAATAAATCAATAAGTAAATCCTTCAAAGATAAAAGAAACTTCACAGGAGCACGGGTACGATCAGTTGCATAAGAGGTAGAACGCGTTTCACCAGAAAAAGGAAAACAATGTTAGGGCTTGATATGAATGATTGATATATTTGTTTATAATTAATTTGTTTTTAATGTTTAAACTTCTTTTAGCTATTTTTTAAAATTATTATTATTATTGTGTCTTTTGGGTGTGCGGGGGATATATTCATCACCGTTTTCACGAAGAGGCGAATTTAGTATATCACATTCGAGATAATCGTGTTTAAAGTTGGTCCTTTTTTCATTTAACAATTTGAAACTTAAAGATACATATTATTCTTCATCTTTAAGTGGGAAAGGTGGAGAGAAAAGAGCCTCGTGATGGGGATTCTCGTATCAAAGAACTGAGATGACGTCACTTGTGATGTTGGGAAAATGCATGGATTTCGTTGACTTGTTAACAAGTGGAATAATTGAATTGCATACAATATTCAATTCCATCACTGTTCCAATCACTGTCCTCAAACCTAATTTCATTCTTGAACTGACCTCTGAAAACCTTGTTAAAGGCGTAACTGCTCAAACGTCATCCCCAGATTGCGATACCAGCTCGAGTGCGCATGCGTGTTCACCTGCTTGAACTCCTGCTTGTACTCGTACATAAAGCATATTATTAATCATAAATCTACCAATAACAATACACACACGTATCACCGTCCGAGTTTTTTTAACCCACGTGTTTTTGACACAGGCATAGAAAGCCAACAATGCGAAGCCGTGGGAGTCTTTTCATCACAATCCCTTGTTGCCTTTTCAAGGATTTTGCCAAACTTTCAGTGTTTTTCCACCACTTTTTGCACCAACGAACACATTTTTTCCCTGGGTTTTATTGACAACAATCGATGAAAGGAAACACCTCCACGCTTTATGCATTCTGGTGCGTGTACAAATACAGGCGGTTCCACACCCACATGTACAATTTGCCCAATGGACGACCGGCCGCCAGCTGTACCGATTCCGAGTTACGGCCCATTGTTCAAGTTCGTCGTGACACGGACGGCTGGAAAAACACAAAGGCCAGACGACCCTGGTGGCCGATTAGCATAACTATACCAATTCACGAATGAATGGCGGTGTTGTGAACTACGAGGATATGGTTGTGTTGTCGAGAAAAATACAGACTCGAGGTGATTCTTAATGCCCGTTTTGAGTTTTATGATATTTTTGACATTTATCGCGAGGTCGTTAGCTTGTCAAGGAGTTTCACTGTGTGGAATAACTTATGCTGGTACGGATATCGAACAAGAGTTAAGAGTAATATCACATGACAAACCCGGATTGTGGACATGTGATTAGATTTCTGCGAATACGAGTGTGATGTTACAAACCGTGATACAGATGTAATCCGTGGATTGACAGTCCCCTGAATGTTTAATGTTTATCTTTCGTCTTAGAACGCCATGCCGTTAGAGGCGGAGCAGGTACAGAGAATGGAATCTATGGATCCGGACGACAAGTGGAGGATGATTTGTGAACAGGTAAGTTCCACATTCAATCTCAGCGAAATGGTTAAACTGATGTTATATACTGCCGATGTACATGTACATTCAAAGAATGTACTGTGTAGTGAATGAGAGTGTACAATTTTGTACATTGAGGTTCTGTGACCATAGGTGGAAGGAGTGTACATTTATGTAGGCTATAAGAATGAGTGCAGCTAGATTCACATATCATTAATTTTCACACATCATGGTACATGATCCCTGCATTTTGATCAGTAACTGTTTGAGAGGGTTAACGTTGCCAGGGAAACTATTTCGTAGATAAATGCTGTCGATGAGGCACAAGTAAAAGTATGAATCGTGTGCAGGTTTAGGTAATGCACTTACTTAAGTTAATGTGGAACCGACTGTTCTTTTCAAGTTTTAAATACACGTTACAAAATCTGGAAAAGACGAAACAAAGCGTCATTTGCCTTTACAATTGAGAACGCTTTCAATTAGATATATTTTTACGTAACTTGGTGACGTCATGGACGTCACATTAAATGGTTCAATCGTTATTTCTGTAAATTATAGCAGGAATATAAGTAACAGATATTGAGTAAATATATATTTACCGTTAATTCCCAAGAAATTGTTGTACCAAAATATTTAACGTAATCTTTTCGATTCCAACTGCATATTGAACCCAACCATAATAACATATATACATCAGGCTCTCCATATCGATTCAATACGCAAGATTCATATGACAGTCGACTTTCGTTGATACAAACCCAGTCTGTGATTACACTTCCTGGTACAAGATTATTGCGGTATTCAGTGAGATGCGTAACTGTATATTCAACTACTACTTAGGCTAAAACATGCACAATTTTGAAAGGTAATTAATTTTTGTGTTTTTGCGCTTAAAAAAAGCAATTCAAGTGTCGCATTTTGACGTAGATGGAAACGATAAAAAAGTAAATAAATGATGAATGCACCCAATAAGCATGATGTAGTATCTGAGACCAAATGCAGGTCACCAAAACTGGCTCAACCTTTCTCTTTCCAGTTTAAAAGAGAACCTGAAAAAAAAAACCAGATTCCATGTTGTGCGCTATTACACTAGCTAACTTGAGTGTAAGTGATTTATGTGGGATCTGCTAACAAGTAAGGGTAGGTTGAGATAATACTAAAATAAATGACGCATTTAAAAGTCCCTAAAATATACGTGTGCATCCTCTGATACCAAAACATATGAATTTTTGTGTGTGTTTTAATGTGTCCTGTATCGTTTGTTTCAAAGGTCATTGCAATGTTTTGGGTAAAATATTAATATAAAATTGTGATAAAATGATTCCCAGCGATCTGATGGAAGAAATGCAAATATCTGTTTATACACCTATACAATAACTTGGAAATATATGTGTATGTCGTTTTTTTTATTACTAATATCATAAATTCTGCCCGTTTTACGGTGACACGAAACTATCACGTGGATGTTTGCTGCATGAAGTACAAAATATATACGACGATACAGAAAATAGCCTTGTTTCAGTTCAAGGCCCGAGGATCAACTGCATGCATTGTTACATTTAATGAGGAACGACTTGGTAAAGTTTAGGACAAGCCTCAACTAGATTGTCCTTGGGAAGAAGCTTTAGTGCGTGTTAAGCAGAGTGGTTATCACTAAAAAGTGCAATCATCCGTCAATTCATTTCAGACTAGATACATATGGGCCACTTGCATGATGTGTACATGTACATATGGTTCATCGAAAGTACTGACGCAAAAATAACTCAGCGAGTGTGTACACAAAATGAGCTCTTCTCCTGAATAATATCCATCATCGATAAATACCATGTAGGAAAACAAATTATGCGAAGTCGTTCTTGGGTGTCTTGTAGATAATTTAAAGGAACCAAGACTCATTTGCTTTATGTGTTTTTCTCCTTTTGAAGCAACAAAATTGCTCAAAATCTAAAGTCGGGGGCGAATGTGCAAGCTTTAGCTCAGTGGCTACTAAACATTTTGGAGAAAAAAAACAGAGAAATTATTGCACACTTTGTTTTGTTCTCGTTTCTGGATTCCGTTGTTAAAACATTTTTAAACAAATTGCCCTCGGGCACACTTTTTTAAAACCATCTTTAATTATTGTTTTCTTCCGAAAGATAGCATTTCAGGCGGCTTAATTTTACAGGGTATTTGGTACCAGCCCCATCTTCACCTTGAGAAAGAATGTTTTCGTTAAATTGCTGGGTGCTTTTCCATGTTTTTACCAATGTTTCTACGTGCTTAAAGTAATTCAAAACGGAATTGAAATTAATGACGGAAATGAATTAAGAAATGGAAGAAATGAGCGCAATTAAGACTGATTCCAAAACTTAATGAAATCGTTTTCTTTGAAATGCTTACAAGCCTTCAAATAACGTTACTTTCCTTTAATTGTTATGTCGGTATTTCGGTAATCGTTGGTTATTTTGTCTGGCAACCCCGAAGTTGAAAAGATTCAAAGTACTTGATTTTAAAACTCAAGCAATTTGGTTTGCAATGAGTTTGCATTTCCCAAATCAACATTTTCGTTTCCCCCTTAATGTTCCAGCCCTCCATGCCCTCCCTCCATGATCCTAAATACTACATCGACCAGCTTCGAGCTCACATGAACCCCAACGTCCACAGTCTCAAGAAGGTTCCCAAGAAACTGATCAAGGATCTGCTGCCTACGAGGACAATACTGGAGGATCTTAAGGAGGATCTGCAGACGTATAATGCAGAGTGAGTAAAGCAAATTAGTCATCATCTGACGGAGTGATAGGTGGTGATGTTGATTGTGATTGTTGTGATGATTGTGAGTTTAGTGACGAGGATGTTGGAACTACGTAGAATGGGATATGCGTGGGGAGATATTTCATCCTATATCAGATACAGTTCATCCAGTTCGATGGTCGAGTGGTAAGACCACTGCTCTAGTAAGCAAGATATTGTGGGTTCGAGTCCCAACCGAGAAAGGAACTTTTCTCGCAAGCCATTGTACAAAACTGAATGTTTATAAAAAATATTTAATAATAATGTGGTGCTTATAAAAGTGCTGTATACCAAAGGTCTCAAAGCCCTTCACAATATTACCCCTGATCATGAGGTCATTTTGCAGCAGTTTGAGATCAGCGGATTCTGGTCTCTACCTTTACAGGTATCCATTTGTACTCATGGGTGGAGAGAGGCAATTGTAGTAAAGTGTCTTGCCCAAGAACACAAACACCGTGTTCCCCGTAAGGGTTCGAACCCACTTACCACGACACATGAGACGAACACCGTAACCAAACATTAAACAAGTCGGGTTTGAGATGATCTGGGGATTGTGTTTATGTGTATGATTGTAACGAGAAGATGGGAACCATTCTGGTAATGATAGTGATTTGTTTGATTTGGTTTATTGCTATTATATACAATAGTATACAATACAAATTGTCGTGGTGTCATGATACCATTAGTAAAGATAGGTACATTGTATAGGCCTATAGGTCATTGAGTAATTCCGGTCACCGTCCCTTAAGAACGAAAATCCTCTTAAGGATGTTGGACTCGCCCAACAAGTTAACGATGTTTAAAGCCATCAAGAATGTCGGAAACCACGATGGAAACCACGATGAAGATGACAAAACCTTACAATATAATATGGCGATGCACCGGGAATACACAAAACAACATTGACTGGCAGGGCATCAACTGAATAATGCGTAAGAAATCGCATTTTATTTAAGATGCTTTTCTAGTTCCATACAACAAACGTTGTTCATTTGAATTGAAAGAAGTCTGTGTAAGGTTGCAGAGAACTTTTGGAATGATAAACTTACTCTAAGAACTAAAACGAAAGAGGGGCCTGTAGCTACACAATCGCCTAGACCATAATAACGCGAGCAAAGGTGACACAAAACGTACGTGATAAAATGTGTTATTGCTGAATGATATTGCAGTAACTTTTGTTGTCTCGCAAACCTAAAGTCAGTAGGGGTGAACAGGCTTGTGTGTTTGTTGATCACATTCGGCTGACTCTGAAGCGTGCCACCAGAGTGCTTTATTCAAAGAATACTTTGTCCATGTAGATATTTATATATCAATACAATAACATTCCTGTTCGCTGGCTACTGCTCTGGCTATCAACTACTGTCACGACAGCGTTTTCCATTGAGGCACAAACCATTCTGTCCAAATCCTATGCGATTTCTTTGAAAATATTTCCTGGTATAGGCGCAGTGTTGTTTGTAATCAGCGGATAGAACTTGACAAACTTTGTGTGTGTGTGGAAGTTGCCTTGAATTTTGGGGACCGAAGCATTAAGCGTAGCATCAGTTTCAATACAAAGAATGTAATATCTTGTTTAACGTTTCCCACTTAAGAATATCTCTCTTCAGTTTCGTTAATCTTTACCTATATTTTTCATTTGTTATTTACAAATAAATCAAATTATTTATTATGAGGTTTCGAATAATGTGGCTGAAAAAATTCTCAGTATACAAATTTAACAGGGTTTCCTTTGCCCTTTGTCATTGCAAAATTCAAGTAATTGTGGCTTTGTATCTGTATTTAGAATGACAATTGTGCCCTTCTACAAAGACAGTCATGAGCCATTTCGTTTATTTGTTCACTGAAAGACGTAATGAGTCCCCCTTCTAATCCCAATTTAGATTCATAAAAGAGTTCGTTTCGGATCAACTGAATGGTCCTGAGGTACTCTGCCGCTTCGTGCGCGACACGCAGAACCTGCTGATTGAGAAACAACGAATAGCCAACACCACGTCGGCTGAGAAACAGGCAACACTTCAGAAGAAACAGAAGTACTTCGATACTGTCAAGAGAGAGCAGGTTCGTCAGTCATAAAAGTGCCAAAGAAAATTATGATACCGAGAATCACACGAAAGTCTTGCATCTACTCAGTTGAAACAACATGGCGGATATTGTTTAAAAAATGGGAATTGCTGTCAATATTTCACCTTTTTTAAATACAGGGTGAGTAAAAAAAAAAAGGAAACCCAATTAGCAGGACCATTTTTTTTATGAAGTTTTGCATGTAGCACTTTCGAAATCTACGATATGAAAGCCCAATTAATAGGCTCTATGTAACACAAGAATCATTCAACTCACTTTAACTGTTCAAGTTACGGGATTTCACACAAACACTTTTTTTGAAGTTCTGTCATCACAAAAAAGTGTATGTTCTTTCTTCAGCTTGAAAGGTACATGAGTGATTTGAGTGATTCCTGTAGTAAAAGAAAGCTAATTATTGGGATTTCATATAGATTTTGAATGTACTACATGAAGAACTTCATTTAAGAATTAGTCTTGCCATTTGGGTTTCTTGTTACTCACCCTTTATCAATGGTGGCCAGCTGAAACGATTTTGAACAATCGCAAACCAGCAAAGGAGATGTGCCTATAGTTGTGAAAAGAAACCCAGCATATTTTAATTAAAGACCTACAAGCATAATCTATTGAATCGCTGGAATACTTTGTATTGCTATTTTTTTAAGTTGTCAACGATAGATCGTGAAGATACAAAGGGAACCCTTTTTGTTGATAAATTGATTGTTTTCTTTGCATTGACAGGTTGATGAGTCTGATGCACTCTTCTGTCTGAAATGCCTAGCATCCAATGAGGTAACGTATTGACTTTGTAACACATTTTGCCTCTTCCTTATAGCTTCGGCAATTTTTTTATTAGTGACATTATGATTCTTATCATCAGGTTGATGTTCGAATGTTGCAATCTAATATTGGATTTAAACTGTTAATGGCAAATTTCTTTTTCTATTTCTCTTTATACAGAGAGGAAGACAAGTTATCACCACGGGTGCAGACATTTTAGAGACAATATCGTTCTGTATCATCAGCAGATCGTTAGCATCGAGGATCAATGCCTTCAAGGTATTTAATCTACTATAAACGGCTCTCAACCTCTTACCAGATTTTTTTTAACCCCAATAAAAGATTCATAACAAAATATTAAAATCTCAAAAATTAATTAAAAATTCAAAAATTATAAATCACGGATTTAAAAATGTATAATCAGTGCCCCACAATTATATATGCTCACCATAAGAAGAAAATTTTTAAATTTTAATCAACTTTGTACATGTTTAAAATTCATTTTGATAAGACCACAACATTAACTGCAATCGTATTGAGCTGGTCACTTCCATTCGTCACCACAAAAGCTTCACTCTAACACATGGTACAAAAAGCTCAATATTTGACAGTAAAATTTAACCACTTAGAAACCAGAAATGACAGCAAATTATGGGAAGCTTTATTATATAGTACGCTGTCTTCATTCGAATGAATTTCATCATTTTACTTTCAATAAACCCATGACCTCACAATGACGTCACAAAGTGTGAAAGCAAATTTGCATCCAAGTTAAATGACCGTTCGTCAGTTTTGTAAGCATCTTTTCCCCGTTATGTCTCCCTGTTCTCATTAGATTTTAACTTATGCCTGCGAGGCGAGAGACGGCCACGACAGAGTACTCAACGTCTTCAACTTCCTGCGAGTCAAGATAAAGGAGAAGGTTCGATTCCACGCATTGTCACAGATGTTGGCTGTGGAGAGGTCACGCACGGATCTTGTGGTAAGTCAAAGGACTATGGATACCTAAATCAATCTGAGTTGTCTTTTATGACACCGGAGTCTGACTTAAATACGTAATGCTTCACCCGTTGCCTTAATCTTGCAACATATCTGGAACGCACAGCTTAAACTAATAGGTACGATGTACCATTTGGTACACATAAATGTGACAATGTTTTTCGTCTATGCTGCCGTCTTTGATGTGTGCTATACTTTTGTTGACTCAGAGAGTGGTTTATTTGGCACACGAATGTCAGAGAGTTTAACAACTGGCTGTTCTCTTTCCAGGTGGTATGTCTGAAGTTCATCAACACGCTACTGAACACCACCCGAAATCTCAACCGGCGAGTTTACCTGCAGTATGAGTTGGAACTAGCTGAGTTCGATGCCATCGAACTGGAAAAGGTAACAACTCCACGAGTTGCCAAAATAATGCATCAGAAATACTCCAAAACCTGGTTGCATGTATAAAGGCCGTTTCATACTTCATGCGAATGCGAATTTGACGTCATGAAACATTCGCTGCGAAATTCGCCCGAGTTGAAATATGTTGAACTCTCACGAATTCGCAGCGCGAATACTCCCCATTACGTCACAAAATCGTGTTCGCTTTCGCGCCGAGTATAGCCTAACTGAAGCAAAATATTTGATACGTGTATTAGCAAAGAACTTATATGAGTCGTGATATCGTTTCTCTGACCATTTTTAAGGGAATATTAAAAGTCGATTTTTTGTAAACGATTTCTGCGCAATAATATTATTATTCGTATCTCAAAGCATTAATTGATGTTTTCTGTCGATAACATAGTTTTGGTGACCACCCGACCTTTCGAAATACTCTGCAAATAGTTTTTGGTAATGTTTTAATATTTTATTATTATTTTTTTTCTTTTTAAGTCATTCCATGGCAACCTCCCTCCAACAATCAAAGCTGAGCTGGATCAGTGGCATGATCACTTCATTAGCATACAGGGTCTCCAAGACAACCTGGCGGAAATACAAGAGCGAAATGACCTGCTCAGACAGGAGGTAGGTGAAGCTGTTACCAAGTCAGTCAAGTCTCTGTCAAATGTTGACCGACGTTATCATTTTTAACTACATGAATGACTTAATTAACTTGGCTTTGATCATTGTTGCTCAATACCTCTCAATTAAAAGCACTACAACACTTCCTTTAATATGAAAATGCCCTTGTTACTGCATGGACATTATTACAAATGTGAGTAGCTTTAGAAATGTACTCCAGTGAATTCTCCAAAACACCATTTCGTGAATTTTATCTTGCTGGATTGCATCCGTGCAACTACAGACTACCAGATACTAAAGCTCAGTATAACATATTAATACTTTTCCTATTTTTTTCTTTTATAGGTCGACCTGCAGCAGGAAAAGATCAGGGTATGCCAATCATAATATACTTTTTAGCGTTTTAAATATTTTTGTTAATTTTTTCGAATAATTTTTGAAGGAATGATGTTTTTCGATACATATTCAATTACTACTACTCATTAAGCAATGAAAATGTTTCTTTTCATTCTTCATTTGATGGAACTTTTTTCAGGAATTCGCAGGCAGCAAGACTGAACTGCAACAAAAATTACAAGAGGTAAGAGCATCAATTGATATCCTGCGGTAGAACATTTGATTGTATCTGCAGTTAATGTACAAATTGGTTCAGAATGCAAAAGCTAGATACATTTTTATTCGTCTAGTCTTGTACATAGGTCTGTATCGAATCTTTGTTTATTCATATGTCATTTTTTAAATTTCAGGTGGACGGGAAGTCACAGGAATATCGTGAGAGAGTAGTGGAACTTCAAGACACGCTGGAACACATTAGGGTGAGATGAAGACATCAACATAACCTAGAATCGGAGACGATATTTTTTTAAGTTGTAAAACTCAGATGTTTGTTAAATTTTTGCAAGACTGTTTTCTTATTTATATCTTTTAGTGGTTCCGCCATTCAAGTTTGTTGCAAAACTTTGAAACATTTATGATCTGTTTCTATTAAATCGATACAAAAGCAACCGCTTCATGCAGGTTAAAATTGGCGAAAGCGTCAACCCTAATTATTTGAACTAAATGTTTGTTTGTAATTAGAGATTTAGAAAAACTCTTTGTTCTAGCAGTTGAATTTTTTTTTTTTGAAGAATTTTTCCTTTTGAATAATTGTTAGATTTTGAAAGGTGGCAGGAACAAAGCTGATGTGATTCGGTTGAATAGCGGAAGTTCAAATGGTTTCATTTCAACATTCCGGGGTTATTGTTCTGAGGAAGTACTAAATCATTTGACAATGACTTAACCGCCAAACTAATGATAAATTTGAATGCCTACTTTGACTCCATCAACAGAAAGTCTACCGACAACAGACAGGGCAAGACCTAGAGACTCAACTCAAATCTTACCAGCTCCTCATGAAGCCCTTAGACTTGGAGCAGTCGGAACCGTCCCTAAGCAGCCAAGATTCCTCCGAGGCTCCTAGTACGGGGAGCGTGACGCCGGTGTCATCAACGACTGAACTGAACGGAGGGCTCCGGTCTCCTGCAGCGAAGAGAACGGGAGGGACCACAGAGACCAAAGTCAAGACGACAACAGGTGAATTTTGATTACTGGTACTTAGCTATGACAGAACAAGTCACCACAAGGCCGATTATATTGAACCGACGGATATAGAACCGATATAGTGTCAACCAAGGGCGGATCCAGAACACAATTTTGGGAGGGGCCCCAAAAAATTTTGGTCCCCCAAAAAGGTGGGTCAAACAATTACGGCGTGGGGTTCGGGGCCCGCTTAAGGGCCCCGAAATTTTTTTGGATTCTAGATGCTCTGTGGTGCGATCTGAGGCAATTTCTGACCACTTTAACCAATGTTTTTTTGAGGAAAAGATGGTGGTGTACTCATTGCCTGCCTTTATTGCGATGTCACAATAAAAAAAAAAAAATTGGTTTCGTTTTGGGGGGGGGGGGCATGGCCCCCTTTGGCCCCCCCTGGATCCGCCCTTGGTGTCAACTACTATAATCTTTGAGTCTCTCGTATTTGTTTGAATTTGCGTAGAATAATACGCGCAATTTAAAATTGTATCCAGTTTTTGTGCTACTATTCCAATTATCCGAGTATCGTTGTTTTAAATTTATTTGCTGTCTTATTTATACAGGGTGGCCTTATCAGTTAAAAAACTGCTTTCCATAAGGGCCCTGCTTCATTTTAAATAAGAAATAATTAAACAGTAAAAGAGTTTTGATTAAAACAAAACAAAAGACATATATATCATTAACAATAAAATATCAGCAATCAAATTAAATTAGACATATAAAAGAATAACGACATTTGTATCAGGAATACAGACATTTTAGTAAATCCCAAGGACTGATCTTAATAGTGTTTATTTTAGTGAAGGAGTGGGCATAGAGATAGCTTTCTTTAACAGGCAAAGACAGGACCTAAATTCCAATGGAGCTAAAAGTTCGTTGGAGGATGATCTCAAGATGATCATCTTCAGCTTCGAAATTTTTAATTTATCTTGTGTATGTGTCTTCTGACTAGTGTCGCTCCATCCCCTGAGGAGAATGACAAAATGTACAACCGTAAACAGTGGACCGGATAGCTCAGTTGGTAGAGCACCGCGTGAACGCTGTTCCGAATCCTGTTCCAGTCAGTTTTTTTCCTCAAACGCTACACTTAATTTTCTAATTCAAGAGACACATGATATGAATACTGACTCAGCATCATTTCTTGAATGGTTGTTTTGCAGGCGGTGGTCAAACCTCTGCCGTTTCATCAAAGACTCCAAAGGATCCAGCTCTCCATCTACCGCTCGCCGACAAATCCTCGTCCATCCCTGCCGCACCTGCTCCACCCGCACCCGGCCTACCCACCCCACCGCCTGCTCCTCCAATGTTCGGACAAACAGGTGGGAATCTTTGTGAAAGTCATATTAGTGAATCTAAGTAACGGGGTATCATTACAAAAGTTAAAATTAATTGAATTGTCCACCGTTTTCTAATGTTGAGCCTTCGCACCGTTTTTCAGTGTGAACAAAATTGTTATTAAAATTGGAGACAAACAGTATTTTGAGACTTATTCGTATACACTTGAATAGAAGCGCTCTCCTTATACATTAAGCGCGTGGAAGAGGTTTGTTTTGTAGACAGGTTATCCAACGATCATCAAAAAAGGATTTAAAAAAGATAATTCATTGTTGCATTGTCCCAGTTTATGGTACATACATAACACAATGGGACTACAGAAAACTGGAACTTGCCCAAGTTTGTTGTTTGCATTTGGGTCATTCGATAAATTTGAGGTCAACTTAATGATACTTGAGCGGCTATTTACACAGTTCAGAGATAAAAGGTACAGGAAAAATGTCTCACTTTAGACATGAAATTTATGGAACAGGGGTATCTGCTTTGAGACAAAATTGTAAAGTCTAGAAGTTACGATTATCATTTTTTTCGTTTATCTTTCAGACTCCAGAAGAAAAAGAAGAATCATTTCCACTGCACCACTGCCCATGTTGAATTGGGTGACGCTTCATCCAGTCAGCAACACAATATTCAAAGTATGTTTGACGGAATACAATAATGTTCTGATTCATAATGGAACAATAAGGTCAACTTAAAAATTTGGTATAATTCCAATACGCATTAACAGATTATAAGGCTTGAGGTTTTATTCTGACTTATGGAAACAAAATCGGCATTTCGATTGTAAAGCTCAGTATTTTTTCTCAAATGTGTACATAAATTTTCAATGGAGACCTTGACGAATCTTTGGTAAAAAAAAAGTATGTGATGAAAACTAGTCTGTAAACTAGTCACTACAATCAAAAAGCGATCGTGATTTTGTAATTATCACAATCGGAGAATCAATTCATTTATATCTGAAGTTGCAAATTGATACTCCGTTAAAGAGGCCAAGTCGTGAAAGAAGACACTGAATAAAAATTAAGGAATCTGATAAAAAAAGTAGTTCAAAAGTACAGTAGAACACTATGTATTCGACGCTCCAACAAAGTTGTTAATGGAGAAATAGGGCGTAAAGACCAGTGTTTTACTTCCACTGTTATTGTTTGATTCTGAACAGTAATTGTTTGTATAATCATCAACAGAACATAGACGACGAACGAGTACTAACAGAGCTAGACTTTACCGATTTTGAGCGCAACTTCCGCCTACGGGAGGCCAAGTACAACACGCTTGCCATGGAGAGAGTAAGACGGCTGCAAGAGAGACTAGCTGAGAAGATCACCGTTATTGAAACAAACAGAGCCAGAAATTTAGGTAAGAAGAAGATAAATGTAATAATGTATAAATTAGTACGTGTTTTATGACTAATCACATGATAAAATTGATATTTAGTCATGTAATCGACAGCTGTTTCATGTTTTCTATCACTTTAACTCAACGACTGTTTCAAGGGTCATTATTTCAATTTCTCATTCAGTGATCACAAAGAGAAGAATCGGGTTACCAACGAAGGAAATCAAAGATGCCATAGATATGTGCGACACCAGCCTGGTAGCCGGCGAATTCGCTGAGCTGCTTCTGAGATTTCTGCCAACAAAGGAAGAGGTAGGTCTCTAAATTGTTTGTGAGATTTTAGAGAATCGGGCAAAATAAAGTTGATTTTGACTCATGATGAGTCATTGCCGGACTACACTGCCGAACTGAATCTTTTTAAAAAAAATGCCGTCACATTGTTCCTTATCCAGGGGAAGGGTGGGCTCAGAAATTGTTCGTTATTTGAATTAAGCAAATTGTGGTATGGATTGAATACAAGTTATCTTTCTTGGACGATTGAAATAAACAGCTTTAAGATTTATTCTGCACTAACTCCTTGTCTTGTAGTTGAAGTCTCTTGCCAAGCACGCAGATGATTACGAGGGAATGGGAGAGGCCGAACAGTTCATGTTTCAGGTACAAAAAATAAATATTTCCTTGAAAAGCACACTTTATACCATTGTGGTAGTCAAGTCCATCACAAGTCCTTACAAGTCCCAAGCTATTCAAATAAACCCTAACAAACGCATACTGTTCTTGTTGTTCACCGGGCCCCTGTTGACTTGTGACTGGACTTTCTTATTTTCTAATGAAAGAACACGTGATGGACTTTATACTGCAATTTTAGAGAATATAATGAAATTCTTTGTTGAGACTCCTTAGTAGATTACGTCCGACCGTTTTAGCCCATTTTCAAGATATTGTTACGAAATTGATACTTTTTCGTTTTGTGATGATCAAGGTGACCAAAATTATCGTAATTTGTGTGTTTTTGTCGCCGTAGATGGCTCGAGTTGATCGGTATGAGTCCAAGCTGCGTCTGATGGCCTTCATGGGGATATACAAGGAACTCATTGTCTCACTGCAACCGGTAAGATTTTATATAGAGGAGCATTGCGTACCATTATTGCATGCAATCTGTATATCGAGGATGTGGGCATATAGACAACATTGTTGAAGCACAACCATGTTTGTTTTACTGAAGTCATCACGTTCATTTCATTACAAGATCTGTCCTCATAAACTGTTTATTTCGTACATCATCAATTGAAGGTTAATTGTTTGCTTTGTTTCATGACCCTGTTTTGAATTTAGGACATGATAGAAATCGTCAGAGCATCGGAGAGCATCATGAAAAGCAAGAAACTGAAAAAGTTGTTCGAGGTAAGAGGGATTTTGTTCAAAGAACCATTCTGCAAAACGCAAAAGTTGCAAAAAGGCAACATTCATCGTCGGTTGTGAGCTAACCGAAGTCTCCCTTATAGGTGCATCAACACCTTAATGTACATGTAATGCGATGCGATGCGAGGGTGCAGCCTAGCCTACACCAACTCGGGACTTGATCGCGGCCCTCCACTCATCCCTCTCCAGCATTATGGCCCTCAACTCCCCTGTGTCACTGAGACCAACGTCCCGTCGCAGCGTGTCGATATACATGGCTCGTCTCCGCCCCATGTACATGTAAAAGGAATACAATTGTGCTTTAAAATACGGTTATTTTTGCAATTATGTCGTTAAGTTGCATTCATACCGGTAAGTCTTGCTTTTGAAACCTTACACCAATCTGAACGAGTTTATTTTTTTTCCCAAAGATCATTTTGGCGTTTGGTAACTACATGAATAGCAGTAGACGAGGCACAGCAAGCGGATTTAGATTGGAGACGTTGGATAACGTAAGTTGATTGTCGTTAATGGCCGCTACCATTCATTCTTTACACTTTAATTGAATTCCTTGAAATCATTTAACATCTAGCTTCCAATGTCCTCCTTTTGTTAAATGCGTAGGATTAATTGATTGTGGACTTCGGCCTATACTCATTGCCTTCATTATCCAAAGGTTAACAGTTGCATTAGGACTCTGATAATATAGAGAGAGCTGAATAGTGCAATATTTTGTGCTGTAGTTAAAAACTCATCATGAGCCTTAATTTTTTTCTTGAAAACTACCAAAGAAGGAACTTGAAGGAACTTAAAGCAACTTTTTGTTACAACTATATGATACTTATTGTGATTCGGATCTTTTGATCAATGTTGAAGGCCTGTTACAAGTTTTCCCCTCTTCCTAGTGTTTTATCCTTCAAAAAGTATCTCAAGATCCATCTTCCCCCCAAATCGTAGCTTGTTGTCCTCTAATTCTTTGTCTTCTCTTTCCTTTTCATTAAAGCGCCTTGCATCCTTTGGCAATTCGGCGCTCTATAAATCAGTATTCTTATATATAAACTTTGAAAAGAAAAAAATCTAATGTATCTTCGCAGTGTTAAATAACTAAACATCGTCTTAAGAATATCCTGCTCATGCTAATCAATTGGTGATATTGTGTTTTTCCTGCCTTTAGATGACCTTTGTCAAAGCCGCAGACAGATCTCACAATTTTTTGAATTACCTTGCCGAGACCGTCCGGCGATGTTACCCTGAGGTCCATAATTGGTATGATGACCTCCAGCTTGATCGGGTCAAAACCTGTAAGTCACTCCTAAATGGATATAACCCCTTCACTTCCAAAAATTGAATTTCAGCCTGTTGCATTAAGTAGAGATCAGACGATTTAGAGTGAAAAAATGTTAGATTATGAAATTGGAAAGCAACAATTTCTTGAATGAAAGTTCAATACATTCGGTGAAATAAACTTAACTCTAAGTGTCTCATCTCTAGTTTCAGCCAGTTAGAGTAAATTTCACTCTTGTGATAAGAGTGTTAGATGATTTTTTTTTTGGATACAGTTTCGATGATTTATTTCTTTCTTGTTTGAAACGACTGCGACGTTTAATCCACCATCCCCAATAATCTGACTCAATCAAAAGTCATTCAACAGATAAAGTTGAATAATATTTCGGATAACATTATTTGAAGAAAAAGCCTATAATGCAGCACATTCTCTTGATCCCCATAAATTTACAGGATAATTTTGTTAGTTGTTTTATACGGTGTTTTTTTAAATTAGTTGATCACAGAAGTTATCAAGTACATGTCTTGATCAGTGGTAACGTATCCACCGATTTCTATTTTCTCATTAAGCATCATTGGAGTCTCTGACCATGGATATCCACGGGCTACGGAAGGGTCTAGAACTGGCCAAGTCGGAGAGAGATCGTCAGCAAAACAACGCTATCATTGATGTAAGAATGCAATCATTATAGGTCGTTCATCAAACCGCGGCCTCATCTCTGGGTTTTGGTATTGTCCTTGGCAATGGAGCTGTAAACCGCAGACCGAGCCAGAGACAAAGTTAAATAAAACCCGCCTATTGGCGAATGGTTCTTTTAAACATAGACTGAGACCTGATCTCATTGAATGAGGACGGGCAACAGGCGTAGAGCTTCTATATCATTGGTTGCTACGTGCAGTGCAATTTGATTGGACAGGCTCTCACTAAGTGCAATCATATGGCATGCCACTTCTTTTGTGCCAAGGGGAACGCTTTCAGAAAATTCAGTTGGTTGACAGTTGAATGATATAATAAAGCCAAGTCGATATTCCAACTGCGCATGTGCATAACAAGATTGGACGATTTTTACTTCGGAGAAACGCAGCAGATAAGTGCACACAGGTCTAAGGGGACACACAAAGGTTGGGCTAACGAAAACACGTATCAGCTGTCCATACTTGTTTAGATTTTTGTGCTTACAAAACTATGATTTTTCGTGAATATCCCCTAAGGAAAATTGTCAAATCTTGTAGTGCACATGAACATTTGAAATACCGAACTGAATTATTCAGCCTATTTGAAGCATCCATCAAAATTTGATCACGTATCCATCATATGATGCGTGTTTTTTGTGATTGAAAACTGCTCTTTTTTTATTCTTGACCCTTCATGTTTTGAGCAAGGATATTCATAGTTATTGTACATTATGTGTTTATAATAACACTCAAATAACTGCTTTGATTTTTGAAACGCTTTTCACCCATCAGGAGTTCTACAAAGCATCTTCTGACAAGGTCTATGAGCTTTCCGAGCGGTTTAAGATCACCGAGGACACGTATAAACACATGTGTGCATTATTCGGCGTTAAACACAAAGAAATGGAACCCAGTGATTTCTTCAAGATTTTCATCAACTTCGCCTTCGAGTATAAGGTGAGACAGGGGCGGATCCAGGGGGGGGGGCCAAAGGGGGCCATGGCCCCCCCCCCCCCAAAAAAAACGAAACCAATTTTTTTTTTTTTTTATGTGACATCGCAATAAAGGCAGGCAATGAGTACACAACCATCTTTTCCTCAAAAAAACATTGGTTAAAGTGGTCAGAAATTGCCTCAGATCGCACCACAGAGCATCTAGAATCCAAAAATTTTTCGGGGCCCTTAAGCGGGCCCCGAACCCGACGCCGTAATTTTTTTGGCCCACTTTTTTGGGGGACCCAAATTTTTGTTGGCCCCCCCCCCCCAAATTGTGTTCTGGATCCGCCCTTGAGGTGAGATGACATTTTATAACATATCTCAGAAACTTCTTCGTGTGGTGTTAAAATTCATATTGTTTAAACCACTAAAAAGACGAGATGAGCAGTATATATCTGGGACTGATTTTTCTCATTGTAGTTGATGACCGCATATATGATAATTTTGTTTTCAGAAAGCAGCCAAGGAGAACTTGGATCGACCAATCAGAGCCAATCCTGCGCGTAAACAGACTGTCAATGCCTTACGTCAGATCTCCAACGAAGAGGTCAACGCGCAGGCGCAGCAGAAGCCTAACAAGTCCAAGTTGTTCTTCAGCCGTAGCAGCAGCAAATCCAAAACTGGCAATCCAGACTCTTTAGAAATCACCAAGCGATCCTCGCCTACAAAACTCTCCTCGCCGGCTTCCAGCGACTCCGGGGTGTTCCTGACCGTGACGCCGGAGATGGAACGGGAGCTGGACACCATTCCATACGGCCCGGGCTACCAGAACGGACACGCTGAGGTCAACGGGAACAAGGAGGACAAGACAGGGAAGAGTAACGGCGTGGTGCTGCTGGGACAGCGACCGTACAATGTCAACAACAACAGTGATGCTTACGCTGGTATTGCTGAAGATGATGGCTATTATAACACATCTCCGCTGCAAGATGAGGCAACACCGCTTCGAGCAGAGCCTATCTACTCCACTTCCATCTCTGCACTTGATCGTCCCAAACCACAGAGCCACACGTATAGGTTTTAATGGGCAGTCTTTGAAGTACAAGTGGATGTCAGATTGTGAGCAACTCAAATGCGACGAGTGGATATCATAGACCTCTTGCACGGTGCGCCCTCACTGGGTAAAGCCTTTGTCATTTAAATCACAGCGCGTCCATATTCATGCGTGTCAACGAGAAACAATGACCTCTCCTCAGATGTGACATCTGATGCACTTGGTCTGTTCAACTTTTAACAATGCACATTGCCTTGTAAAGATATGTAAAGCCTGCAGCGCGAAGCACATGGATTTTAATATCTCGGTGAAATTATGCTCTGTAAAAATTGAATAGTTTCCAGTTTATATTTTTTACTTGCTAAAAAAAAGTAGTAAGCAAAATTGACAGCAAAGCAGCTCCATACAAATGTTTTCTGTAATATTTATTGCTCAGTGTATTTAAGATTTTATCATGTTTATCAACTCAAGAAGACTTTTTTTCTATCATAAAATGACCAAGAGTAACTATAACGAAGTTGGATGTATTGGCAGACAATATTTCCGAGAATATTTTTTCCTTCAAAATCGTACACAGTGCAGAAAACTAACAGCACATCATTTGTACAGAACTCAATGTTTTAGTTAATAGTACCTTGGCTTTACAATCCTCAAACTCAAACTAACTTCCAATCTGGAAGTATCTGAAAGAGATTTTCAAAAACACATGATTAATTTCGAACTTTAGTTTAGTTTTGGATTTGTTGTGGTTAAGTCGGGTGAATTTTGTCTTTATCTGGTCTAAATATGAGGCTCATATTTTGTACATCTTGGGTTTTTTATGAAAAAGAGGAGAAAGTTTGTAAGAAATGAATTTCATTGCTGTGTACATAAAATCGCGTGTACAGATGCAAATATGTTAGTCTAAATACAACACAACTCGTATATGCCAAAATTACTTGGTAGGTTAATTTGCTGAACACTATCTGAAGAATTAAGGTATACAAATACATCTTGATAAGTTCTCTGCCTATGGACACGGCCCCTCCAACACATACGACTTTGTATCTGTAAAAAACGTTGGGAAATATGGGTTGATATGTAGACCAACGTTGGTTAACATATCAACAGGATAAACTCTTGGGCAAATTCTTTTCAATAGTTGGACAACTTTTACCCAAATGAGGTAATTTCAAACCAATATTGGGTAAAAATATATTTCCCAACAGTGTTTTACCCAACATTTTTTACAATGTACACGTGTACTACATACAGTCCGAGGACAGCTGCAAGACAACAACAGATTCAAAGTTGTCCTCAAACGGAGATTTTTTTTGAGAATAGTCATTGCTTGTACACTTATAAGTCTCTGGGAGTATGAACAGAACGAAATAATTCCTTGTCCTCGAAACAAAATCGCAAAGTCCGACTGTATGTTCGTGGTATTTATCGAGGACTTAATGCAGCTTCTCACTGTACAGGGTATTCAACCGAGGACGGCTTGCTGTAATCGAGGACCCTGTAATCTTCAGTGATTTGTTTTTAGTAATTTTAGAGTATTATCTTTCCTCCGTTAATACCACTCGCAAATCTCACACTTCACACCCCATAATAAAAGGGATACCATTTTTGTATAGTTTTGATTTTAGTATAGCATATCTTTTGCACTTGTTCATTATGAAGCACAGTACTAGGAAATCGTCTATAAAATATGTACATTGTATATTTATTTTCCATGTCTTAAATCGTGTACAATTTGTGAAATTTGCAATTGTTATTGATAAAAAAAGGTTGTACAAATATGTAAATTCACGACGCAAATGATGACATTAAAACAGATTGCTCAAAAAGTTTAACTTTGCCTTATCAAATCAAGTTGTTTGCATTCTTTTAAAATCATAATTATGAACAGTATTAATTACACTTTATTTCATGAATCACCGATTAAATATATACTTTTGATGAGTGATGATTGATAATTACTACAATTAGTTTTAGTATTAAGAAACAATTTTTGCAAATATATATACATGTACACTTAATAAAATAAATCATTATTTATTAAAAAAAAAGGGTCAAATTCACAGACCCAACCTCGAAAGCAAAAGTCAGTAACGCCCCTCAAAAAAACCCAATTAGGCCTAAGTATTAAAAAGTGTAAAATACCTTAATGAAGACATAACTTTTTTGAAAAAGTTCTATAAACAATACTATATTTTCCAACTTATGATAGTTATAGGGATCATTATCTTAGTCACAGAAAGGAATTCCGCCCTCAATATAGTCATGTGAAAAACAACTTGTCTCTTTGCTTAAAAATCGGTCAAATATAATCGATTGTTAAATTATTGCAAGATAGTATTGTGCAGAATCGAAACATGGAAGGCATCGATACTCTTTTGCTTATAACAATAAGCAATCGGGGTCTATTAAGTGCCGTCCAGGCTAGGGCGAGAGTCGGAACGCGTTTGTGTAATATTTTTCAAGAGACACTAAGGTAGTCTGAATATGAACATCGTGGACGATGATTACGTCTGAGTTTCAAACCTATTTCCGGACACAATGTTTTTGCACTACTCAACAGTTTGCACATCATGAAAAAAAATGGTCAAAAGGCTTACTGCATATAACGCAATTCACTCACTTAGGAAGCAGGGCTTCCTCACATTATATCAGCCTGATTCTATTTAGACATCTTTAAAAAGTTCAATCAAACTTTCCAGGTTTTCATCAATATTTCTTGCAATCCCAATTCATCGTTTGAAAACTACAAGAAAGATGCCAGCAAAACTGCATTATTCCTTCCACAAAAAGTAAGCCCATACCTCAATAATTTTGTGTTCCAAGAACCACTAGCCTTTCGAGTTGTAACGGACACGAGGCGTTATTGATGAGGTTAAACTCTTTTCAGGCATTGTTGTTAGACTGACTGCACATAGGGGTACTACGGGCATTGATGCGCTATATCTTGACTTTTCTCCGCAACTACTGGGTTTCAAGAACTGTCCTTTTGCCAGCTTGTTCGCCTCATCACAAGCTTCCGAACAATGTATAGTTTGTGTAGAACTTTCAAAGGTTAAGGTACCTTCAGACCGCGATGTACGAAGTTCGTATCGCGGGCGCTTGCGGGCATTGCTGTTAGACTGACTGCACATAGGGGTACTACTGGGATTGATGCGCTATATCTTAAATTGTCTCCGCAACTACTGAATGTTGAGACCTGTCCTTTTGCCAGCTTGTTGGCCTTATCACAAGCTTCCGAACAAGGTATAGTTTGTGTAGAACTTCCCAAGTTAACCCTAAAGGGGCCGGGTTATTTTGACCATCTCTCAGCCGGGGGGGGGGGGCGGATTCCGCCCCCCCCCCTAAGATCTCGGCCATCGAGTGACGAAAAATTTTGAAACTCAACACATGCATAGAGCAACTCTTCCTAAACATGCCCAAGAAATTTCATGACTGTAGGTCAAAGGGTTTTGGAATTATGGCTAATTAATTATTCATATGTATGAATGGCAATTCTGCTCGGTGTACACGACGTATATGCGAAAATTCAGTTTTTACGGCGCGTAGCGCCGGAAAATTTTTCGCTACGTGCCAACCCGTGGTCCGATTTTTATGTTTTTGGTATCAAAAGATGCGCAAAGCTCGAGGCTAAAAAGTCATAACAGCTCGGTTCGCGAAAAAAAATTTTTTAGAAGCTATCGCGGAAAATGTTGAGGGGGGGGCGGATTCCGCCCCTCCCCCGGCCCCTTTAGGGTTAAGGTACCTTCAGACCGCGATATACGAAGTTCGTGTCGCAGGCGCAAGTATTGGCACGACGCACACGCGCGCGCGGTTGCTATAATTCGTCAGATCAGTGCTTGACGTCGCGTAAAGCTGCAATTCAAAACAATTCAAAACATGATTCATTAAGTTTTGATTTGAAATTAAGATCCTGGAATGCTGTTTTTCTCGGAATATACAGCTGAAGCTTAGCTGAAACTTAATCAGGTTAGTTGTTTAGTATCCTTCATTAGATTTTGAACACTTTTGTTGCTTCAAACGAACAAAATGCACAAATTACAAATGATGGACTATATCTTTAATGAGACAACTTCTGTGCCCAATTGCATAGCGCTGCTAAGCACGCGAATTGATGCAGAACCTTCGTCTAGTTTCAGAGATCGTAAGCAGTAAGCGCAGCTAAAGGTACGCTGACCTTCCAGCGAACCGCAGTAGGAAGTCATTTGAAGCCAAGACCGGTCGGTGTTCTATAAAGGACAACATGCTGTCTTACGTTTGTTCTCAAACATTGTGATTCACTTTCGTATTCCTCGTGGTTTACCTTGTTCACCTTTTGTCCCTTCAGTTCACAGTGTTTCAAACGTTGTGGTTTACTTTTTGAATGCCACAGTTCTCTTTTTGCGACGTTTGGAAATTATAATCACGGCGGAAACTTGGTTTTAGAACATCATAATATTGTGTACGTGAACAATAAGCACGTCAAATCTTGATATAGCGCGCGTTGTTTGTAAGCATACAACGGTCGTGTTTCGGCGGCCATTTTTGGAAGACCAGGGTCGGTTTCACGAAACGCTACGATCGATCGTATCTTATGTTATATATTAATGGATAACCCATCGTAACTTAAGATGACTTTTAAAAACGATCTCAAGAAATTTACGAAGGGTTGAACGCATCGTAAATTCCATGGCAACACCTCGTAAGTTACGATGAGTCATAGGGTCATTGTAACTCAATTTAAAAAAACAAAAGTAAGATCATTTCAGCAATGGCGCTTATGCTAAAAGTCGTCTTTCGGTAACTACCAGGGCATACAGGGTGAAGTTTTGTTTCGGGATTGAAAAGATGGATGAGCAAGTCTGGCGAATCAGCGCGCGGTTCGTAAATGCCACTTCACTAGAACAGTGGTCAAAAGAGGGCGCCACTAATGTGTGAAAAACCACAAGCTGGTACATGTCTGTACAAATCGCTATACCGAACAATCGTTGTTACGAACAATTTCTGTGGATCCTGCGATGTTCGTTATAGCGGCGTTTCACTGTACATGTAATTAACGCATGAAAACAAAGCACGCAAAATCAGTCAGGTCATTGAGGTGCTGAGATTCGTTTGGGGCCGTATCATAAGTCCGACGCCTCATAGGTCCGATAACTCAAAAGTCCGAAATTTCGTACTTTTGAGGCGTCGGACCTATGAGGCATCGGACTCATGAGCGGACACCCTGCGTTTGATAAATATGCTCCACGACGTACTTTTGTCAAAATGTAATTTGAAGATTGCATTGTTGTCCCTAAGAGGTCTGATACATTTGAAGAGTCAAATCACAGGATGGACGAAGGGTCAGATCAGTCATTACCTAGTGAGACATTTGAATTAGAAAGGTCAAATCTAAGAGGAGAAAGTCAGTACAGATATCTGTGAAATATTTACATATTAAGTCTGTTTTATTGTACCTGATATCATTCTGTACATTTCCAAATATGACAAAATATGTTAAGAGTTTGATTTTCCTGATGGTTGTCAAGTTTACTTCATTTATTCTGCACTACTGTTTTCTAAAAGCGTTGTTGTCATCGTTTGATATTAGATAACCCCAACTGCCGTTAATTTATTTTATTGTAAAAGGACGACCAAGTAATTGAGTTTGAGAAGTAATACTTCCTACAGGAATCCAAATGTTACATACCTACTCTCCCGAATTACATACAATACAACTATATCGACAATATCTTCCCGAATTACATAGAATACAATCTATATCAATAATATATCAGCTTTATTAAAAGTTAAAACAGTAACCCCTCATCAATAATCACGTCAATCTAGTCAAACGAAATAAAACCCAGATATGTTCGGTGAAAAACTATACTAACAGGGTTAATACTCACGGTACTGCATGTATTTAAGAATCATTATTATTGTTATTTATTATTATTATACATACAACTTTTTCTCTCATCTCACAATTTGGGATTTTGTTCTATTCGAGACAACTTTGGTGTACAATATTTCCTTTGAAAAATTTACTTTAAAATTGTGTTTATTTGTGGGCTCAGGAAAAATTGATTTATTCTATATCATCCACTTGTCATCGACTGAAAAGTACACTCTTATTGCCACCGTCCTACGTTGCTCTGGCCCCGTCCATTTGAATGACTGGCTGTAGGCTGATGCAGTCTACAGTTTGGTTCTAAATGCAATATTAGGCGAGCGAATTGAGTCCTCAATCGGAAGTGGCAACCAGCGTACTACCAGCTAGTTTTTTTTTTTGGGGGGGGAGTATGGACCCCGACCAGGTCAAAGATCAAAATTAGCAACTTTTCCGACATTGGGAAATTGAAAACTAGCATGAAACACCAGGTCATTTGACAATAGGTGGCGCTGTTTGAATTGTCTGCTATATGTGGCTGAAGTTCTTGGTTGGTTCTTGGTTGGTTCTTCTCCTAAATACTCCACGTGGGAGTTTATACAGGAGGCCAGAAACACCTTTTCGTTGTTTTTTAAATCGAACTTTTTTCACAGTTAGCATGGCTTACTCGAGAGGAGCATAAGGATATTACAATAGGCAATTTTTGGAAGTGGCAACCAGCGTACTACCAGCTAGTTTTTTTTTTTTGGGGGGGAGTACAGACCCCGACCAGGTCACATATCAAATTCAGCAACTTTTCCGACATTGGAAAATTGAAAACTAGCATGAAACACCAGGTCATTTGACAATAGGTGGCGCTGTTTGAATTGTCTGCTATATGTGGCTGAAGTTCTTGGTTGGTTCTTGGTTGGTTCTTCTCCTAAATACTCCACGTGGGAGTTTATACAGGAGGCCAGAAACACCTCTTCGTTGTTTTTTAAATCG